TTTTGTATTGAATCTCGCCGAGTTTGTCGTAAGATCGGGTTAAGGATTAGGGTTTCAGACAGAGTGAATAACGAAAGAAGCGCCGACATCAAACAAAAAAATTAGCTTACAAGTTTATCTCTATTTATAGTCATGTTATCATTGACCTGTTTTATATTTGATTTTGGCTACCCTAAAAAATTAAGTGGACTTCTAATTTGGGCTTTTTTTTTATCATTCAACCGCCCAAAAATTGTCATTTTGTTCAAATGTCTTAAATATTTGGCACATATAATTATTTATCAACCAAATACAATTATTTATTTTGTAATATTTTGCTGGTATTTTTATAGTATTTTTTTTTAAAATTTTCTATATAATTTATAGTACAAAATAAAATAATTATTTTAAAAAATAAAACCATTATATGTCTTAATTTGAAGATAGTGATTTGTAGTGATGGAGATTCAATTGACAGAAAAATCACAAACTTTGTATATAAAGAATTGTTTAACAATATTTAATTATTATTTTTTAGAACATTTTTTCAATGATTATGTTATGTTTTTTTTACTATTGTTTATATCTTTTTATTATTTTTGTTCTATTATAATGCTTTCCGTGCAAATGCACGGGTTAAAAACTAGTATTTGATATAATGATATATAGGGGATTATATCAATAATCTATATATATATAATTACTAGCCAATATCATTTAATAAAACCTAATTAATTTTACCTATGTGGCAATTTAATACTTTTCCCTCCAAAAACCGTTACTTTTTTAGTATTTAATCTTTCATTTAATTATTAAATAATCAATACTAATCACTTCAAAATTACAAAAATCATTTTAAGCTTTTTATTAGTGATAGCTGACCATATAATGTGTTGATCGTACAATGTGATTAGATGTTATTATTGTGGTTACATTTAAATTAATATTTTTTTGAAAATTAAAAACGTATTTGAAATTCCTAAATAAATGATAAATAATTCAAAAAAAAGACGTACCAAAATATACATTACATCCAATCAGATAAACGTATTTTTTTTTTTTAAAAAAAATAAATATTCCAACTTCTTTATTTGTAAATTTGGCATGCAAAAAAGTGAAAGAAAAATAATTAATCATTATATGCATACAAATAACTCACAATACTTTATTTACATCTGTGCAAATGCACATGGTCGAATACTAGTTAGTATAAAATTGCCCATATCGTGGTGGTCTTGAGGAAGCAAGCACGACTCTTGGATCAAAATTTTAGAACATCTATGGTCCTGAATTGCACCGCAGAGCTTGTATTTTAATATTCGCAGCGGAGCCTCTGCGCCGGCTTACATGGCTGCCCGAGGCGTCCTCACTCCTTTACGGGTTCACAACAAAGCAGCGGCGTGGACGCCGCCGGTGATTTTTCCACCCTTCACTTCGTGGCTCGGAAAGAGCTCCCGCACCCGCCTCTTCTGCACCCACCACCAGCCGCCTCCAGGAATTGACTTGTCCAAGTACACAGAGAAGTTTGCTCAGAGAATGGCCATGGCCGGCATCAAACCCCATCACCGTCTTGGTCAGAAACTAATGCCTAATTTTCCTTTTGTTATCTATACTTGATGAGGTTACGCCGGAGTTTTTTTTTTTTGTTTAGTAAGCTTCAGTATCTGGAAAAATGAGTTCAAAATGTTAGCTGGTTGCAATTTCATGAGGACAAATTCATTCTTTTATTGTTTCTCATCATTTAGTGATGCAATTTCTTTTCATCATCCATTGTTTACCAATGGGCATATCATTATTTTAATGGCATCTGCATAACAAGAGATGATAGTTGTTATGGCTGTCCAATGGGTATTTCTTTCTGTACTTACAGGAGTAGAATCTCATGACAGAAACAATGGAATCTCCAATTTTCTGGGGTCACTGTGAACATCAAGATTTTTTAAACCATATCCAATATCTTGTTCTATTCATTAGGTGGTAACTCATTTGGTGTTTTAACTTTTCTATTCAGCAATAGCTGTTTCTGGTGGTCCTGATAGTATAGCACTCTGTGTATTAACTGCTGCTTGGAAATGCAATAATTTTGACGCTGCTGACAAGCAAAGAAACAAGTCAACTGATGGCCTTTTGGCAATTGTTGTGGATCATGGATTGCGAGTAGAAAGTGCAGAGGAATCAAGCATCGTTTACAATCGAGTCCAAGATATGGGTATTTCCCTTTTTTTTCTTGCTATAGGTTGCTGCATTTCAGTTTCCAAAAATGAAGTATAAGTTGATTTTGTTGGGTGATGGATAAATAATGAAGGCTGTGTTTAGGAATCAAATGTGTAGTAGTCCGCTGTGAATGGTTGGATGGTAGGCCCAAGCCTGGTCACTTACAAGAAGCAGCTCGCAATAAGAGGTGTTTGTTCTGACTATAAATTATCTTTTTTCTTAATTTGGATGCACTTTTTGTCGTTCTAGAGGAGAAAACAGGGAGAAGAACGAGCAAGTCCTCTAGAGTTGTTACGTTTTTTCGTCCTATATCTAATTCCATATATATACAGGTATGAGACCTTACAGAATATATGCATCCAGCAGAAGATCAGCGTATTGTTGGTTGCACATCATGCTGATGATCAGGTTTGTCACATCTATCAATATTTTCCATTTTTAGATTATGTTATTCCTTGACTTTTAGCAGAATTTATTACCATTACCTATTATCGCTTTAAGTTATCAACGTATTCAGTGATTGTTTCCATGGCATGAGGTCTGGCGTAGTGGCCTTTGGGCGCCTCATAAAACAGAGGTGTCCAAGCTTATTTTAATATTTAGATTAGGGGGCCTCCTTTTGTATCTCAGAATTACTCTGATTCATATAACAAAACCTTGAATTGATTTGTGACTTTTATTCACCTGACCGAGGCGACTGGACTCCGGCGGTTCTCCGGTGACTACCGATGGCGGAGAGAGATACATGATTGTACTCATTCCTTGTTTTCTTTTTGGCTTTTTTGTATTTTCTTCTCTGTTTCTTGTTCGGTCAAGTTGGGCGAGGGTGCCATCGGTTATGGATGCCTCCGGAGCTACCACTTCTGGTTGTGCTGCTGGTTGCCTTGGTTTTTTATCTTTTTTTTTT